AGAGAGAGAGAGAGAGAGAGAGAGAGAGAGAGAGAGAGAGAGAGAGACGGACATAGACACGGTGGAAACAGAGGCACGATCTCTCGCCTTCGTAAGCGCCTCTGTCAACTGTATGTTCGCCGTTGGCTCCGCGGTGCATCCGCATTGCTCACGAGCTGCAGGGCCCCTTCATGCCTCGCGTCCCAGCCACGACGCGCGACTGTGTGTTCGCGGTACATGCCGTTTGTCACCATTCAAGACGCTGACGCCGAATGCCGTGCGAGCCTCGCCTCTACGTCAAGATTCTCCACAAGTCGCTCACTGCACGGGGAATAACAACGTCCTAGTAGCTGGAAAGATCTCCCACGCGAGATACCACGGCCCTCTGCCGCGTGGACGACGTCGATGATCGTCGACCAATGGACTTATCCGAAGCGGTCGGTGGATCCAACCGCAAACCGCGAGCTGATCGCGTTTCGTTGCGCCAGAGAATTGTATTTTCGAGATTGAACGAACGTAGGTCGATTTTTTGGTTCTGAGGTTGATAGGAAGGACGGGCAATTGGTTCGATTAAAGGAGCTTTCGAGAAGAAGTTTTAGGAGCCTTTAGACGGTTCGGTCAGGTGACTCAAATGTAAAGCTTGACGATTTGTATATTACTTTTAGATTGTCATCACAGTTCTCGTCGAGTCTTTGCACTGTCCAAAAATCTCCGACAGAAGCCGCTCCGATGCCCGGCGGCGACCAGTCGATTCCGAGGTAAACTATTTAAAAATAGTGGCAGTTGGTACTTTGTCCCGAGGATATAGTTGAATGCACGACGAGACAAAGGGTGTATCGTTGATCCAATAGAGTCCTTCTGGCCGGCAATCTGCGCGACTGCGCGGTATCTTGCGAAATCAACGAGATTATCCTTTAACAGGAGCCAGGGACGACCATCTGTTAAGTGTCCTCATCCACATTGGATTCGTCCCTTAAGGGGCATATGCTTACGATGGCAAAAGAATCATGTGAAAATTTTCAACAAAATTAAAGGAAGTGTGGAACCCTAACGGAGGATGAACGTTTGAACGATGAATGTTTGAACGATGAACGTTACCTAGGACTGGCAACGAAAAGTATTTTGAAATAATAATGAATATTTTTCAATTATTCCACCGAAACAGTTGACAGAGAAAAGGCATTCTCCGAATTTTCTAGACGGACGTCGCGTCGTTCCCCATTCGTCGGTAGCTTCGCATGGTTGCGGATTATTGGAGACTTGCGAAACCGATAACATCGTTATCCGCGATAATTATCGCCCCGATCGGGGAACTGATTCACTGCGCGGGTAAAAATCCTCTCCCGTCGCGTTTCAAGTAATTTCAGCCGGAGGTTCTGTACGTAGTTTCGATAATTAAAATTTCCCATGCGCCGTTTGACCGATCGCTCGCGATAATCCAATTTCTGCGCGCGGCACGATTTGCATCGGTCCCCGCTCGTTGGTATTCCGATCGGCGGCCCGTCGAGCGATGTTGCTTCTAATAATGCGTCGTCCCTCAAAAATCTAGTTACCAAGAATAATGCTAGCGGTGAAATCGTTAGCAAATTTTAATTGTCATCGAGCTGAAGTATAAAAGATTTCACGCCTGAGAAGGTTTTACTCTGGCTTGGTTAAGAGTAGCAAATAAATACAGGTATATAAGATAACCAAAGCAAATTGGGTTTCAGAAGTTCGATGTATCGTAACTCCAGGCAATTTGGCCTTTGTTTATCAATATTCTATTAATGCGCTGGGTTGTGCTCGAGAAGACAATATCTGCAGGAGGCGTGCATCTGTCGCAGTTACGTAGCGGCGAGATCGCACGAGGACCAGAGATCACGTCCGTCATATGCAATAACGTTAAGATAACGCGAGCTTTATGGTGGCACGTATCTCCTGATCACAGCGCGCGCCTCGCGAACCTGCATCGTGATTTTCGTGATAACGCGAGACACCGTGTCCGTGCGCGGCGACCAGAGTCGTTTCACCGGCGACGGGATATTTATTCCCTAAATCCAACTAGACCGTAACCAGCCGAGTTATAACCAGCCGGCAAATTGCCGCTCGAACGCGAAAACTTGCAAAAATTCCGATGGCGAGCAAGCTGCTGGAAATCTAATAGCTAAACGCTCGGTAAATCCCGTTAGGGGTGATTCATTTTCGGCTACGAAGATGGCCTCTTTATTTACAGGAGCACGAGTTTGTGGCTTGATTCCTTCGAGTAAAAGAAGTTAACAGAGTCGTTTCTTAAAAATAATGTAGACTCTCAACATACCTGTCTGGCGATGCAGCGATTCGCACAGCGTGGATCTGCGCGTTCGTGTCCCTCGTGCCCCGAAAGCCGCAACTACACTGAAACAAAAAACATCGGAAAGGCCACGTGAAAAGAAGGAAAATGGTGCTCCGGTCCGGGCCGACCGGAAACATTGCGCCGCTGGCAATAACGGAACGTTAAAAAGCGACGATCCTGGCGACGTTGTACGTGTGCGCGTCTGCTTGACGAAGTTAATAAATGTTAACGTGGCGCAACAGTTTTGAATGGGCTTGAACGCTCTTTTATGTTACTGCGGCTTTGTGCCGGGGTGTCGTTCTGTCGCGCGGCCTCGCATTCACCGCGGTAACAAGCCATAAGCAGTCGACTAAACTAGCCCTATTGAGATACTTGAAAAGTAATCTAGCAGGGATTGACCCTGTTGCTCGCTTGCTATTTGTAAGCGGGTTTTTCAATGCGCCATCCACGAATTCCGTTAGCGCGCGTTGGCCTGACGGTGGGAACGCCTCGAGTCTAATTTCTTTTCTTTTTATTATCGCTTATGCGAAAGGAGAACACTCGGGAGTAGATAGACTGGATCTTTTGGTGCGGACTGACATTGGTTGGCAACGAGGTTTGTACGATCAGAGAACATTGAAAGCAGTAATCGACGGAAACGTCGAGAGGAACGATGGTCGTCAACCTCTATTAAGAGTTGACGCTGGAAGAAAGAAGAAGCTTCATTCGAAAACAAAGTACAAGAAGTAATAGCATCAATCTTAATGATAGTTCTTCCAACAAAGTTGGCCGAGTCTCCGTCCCACATCGTCGCTGAACTAACTCCGTGGTACAATGCCGACTTTCGTGGAATGAAATGCCTATTAAAGTCCTTGGCGAAGCATTTGTGTAACTGCACGTAAACTGTTGAATGTAATTGACGGCAGATGGTTCCAAATCAGAAGCAAAAGTTCTTTCGGTTTTATCATCAGTAAAGATTTATATTCGCCGAGCTTTATTCGCGCTTTATATTCGTCACCTTTCGTCGACCGGAAAAGATGGAGTAGCGTTTATGGCGCGCGGGAAGCGGATACGATGGAACGAAAAGATAATCGTAGGACCCCCGCGAAGTGTTCGATTACGACGATTACGATGCCGCGTTCGAGTACGCGCGTAACCATGAATAATGCAAAACACAAAGACGGCGTGATGCATGATCGGTCAAGTAGCATGCTAAACGGAATGCGAACGAGGAGCAAGCAGGAAGTGTATAACAATGGCGGACCACTCCGATTCGACGTACAGTTTGATTTTAGCATACAATACGGTATACTCAAACTCCTCGAGCTAGCATAACCTTTTCGCAGCTTCGAGCGGACGTCCAAGTTTACTCGTTCTCGATACAAACTATTCTAAACGCGTCGCGTTCGATTGCTTCGCGTTAACCCTCCTGTTTCGGTTTCAATTCTCCAATTTCAGGCGAGAGCAGTGTCGATGAGGATCCACGATGGAGAATATCGAAGAAATTTTACAAAAGTCGTGGAAGTTTTCGGAATGACTCGTTTTATCGGTCGACGAGTCAAAGCTCCGATTCGGGACATTGACTTCAAAAGAAAAGGCGATTATGCGATCGGCGATGTACTCGATCGGAAAGACAGGAAGAGCGACAGGGTGCAAATCCTTGAAACGAAGTTCACCGAGCCGAAAGGGTACACAAATTCGATCCCCGAAAATCCATTCTTCGCGGAAGCGTCGCCTTGGCGTTTCCTCGGCTGAACGAGCAGTGGTATTCGCCAGAGATACGTTTAACGCGTCCCCTAATGGCTCGTTACTATCAATGCCGCCGCAATCCGTATCGGAGACCAACTTGCCTGCCGCGTTTCCTTCATTGTGCCATCGGTAATGCGTCCTCTGCCTCCAGTCCCCCGCTCAAACGAGGCCTCAACCTCTGCCTCGATAAGGATGACGGTTGCACCCGGAGACAGAATCGGAAGCCTAATAGCGCGTGCGAACAATGGACGCGCGTCGTCATCAGTGCTACTATTGCGGAAAGTAAATTGCTGCGGCGAACGCCCGTCTTTGTCGATGGAAGATTAGACGGCGGCGTAGGCTCCCCCCCCCCCCCCCCCTCCCCCTGGCGACCAATTAGGCTCGTTTCTTCCCTCGTTTCTTCGCATATCTTGATTGAACCTATCTATCTCGAATGACTTTTATTTTTTTTTATCGAGAACGTAAGAAAATAAAATGATTTACTCGTAGCTTATTCAAGGCTCATACCTTCCTACTCTTCGACGGAAACAATTACGCTTACGCGAGTCTCCAAATCTTCAAGATTTACACTGTTTATGCGAAACTGTTTATCGTCTACGTTCCCCGTGAATTTGCGCCCGAAGACCTTTTCGGCAGCGATACCATAACCAGTTGACTCTCTCCGTGGCCTGGGAGGCAGATTTCCCGCGAAAGCTTCTTAGAAGATTCTTAGAATAATATTCTCACTTCGTTTAACGAGAAATCAACAGACGGAACTGGCGCAGCAGCCAGTTAATTTCCCGTTTCGCTGACTCAAACGGTGCATGCCGGAGGAACGAGTCGGGAATTCTTAAAACGAGCTTCCTTCTTCGATTCAAAGAGGGGTGGGAGGAAGATTGTAACGCACCTCGGATATCTCTCAATGCCCGTCAAATTCAATTAGGATCGTCTTGGCGAATGGGTAAAAGACGGCTTATTTCCTTGGAAGATGGCTGTCAGCCAGGGGGCATTAAGATGATGAAAAACCGGTCAGCTATTATGACTGGAAACGAAGCCGCGCGGTTGCTGGTTAAACAAACGACGCTCCTCCACTCGTCGCGAAAGGGTGAAACGCACCCCTGGTGGCAGCAATAATAATCGTCGCGTGGCGAAAAGGGGTGCCGCGTGCTCGTTCGTGTTTCGACGACCAGGCTGCCGTTATTAATAGAGAACGAAACAATTTCGTAACGTGGCCCGGCTTATTATAATCCCGTCTTTATACACTATGCGCGCGTGGATCCTCTCGCTCCGTTGCCAACCCTTTCCCACCGCGTGGCCTTCCCTCTTGCGTTCCCTTCTACCAACCCTCGCGACACCAAGGATTATCGTGTGCGCTCTCTCGAGGTCACCGAATTATATCCCCCTCCCCTCTGTCACCTGACGAGACCAGGAGGGTTCCTTTCTTCGGTTCAGCGAGCCAACAGGAATGCTCGTTTCACGCAGACCCGGAACAACCAGTTTTTCGAGACAACTAAGCGATACACCCTGAAGAGCTTCGAGCTGGTAATCTGGGAATCTGGGTTAGGCAATAACTTTTTCAAAAATTTTTCTTATATCAATTAAATCCGTAGTTCTACGGTTCTACTCGATGCGCTATCAAACTGATTACGTCGCCCGGTTATCTCGAAGCTGAACCAAACGTATCCAGCTGTCGAGTAGTTAATTAAATTATTTCATTATTAATCGACTATTAACCGAATCCAAACGAAACCGCGATTATCCAAAAACGGATCAAGTAGCTGATTGGCGCTGCATAATTAATAATCTAATTAAGCGACGGATTATGGAGCTCCGTCTCTCCTGATTATTTCAGCTCCGCGAGAATCAAAACTGGAAATCGCTGAGCTCTCGCGGATGCCTTGGAGGCATTCCGGCGATTTTCTCGCTTCTGGAAATACTCTCTAAACGAACGTTCTGACGCGTGTCGTAATTACCATATTTCGCGTTAGAACGTGACGCGTAACATGTTACAGAATAATTTGGAATTTCGATTTGCTGTCGAGATGAATGTAACATCGACGTCCGACCTGTTTGACAGTAGTATCTACGCGCGTGCGAAGCGTTGCGTGGACGTGGCGAATTAAATGTAAATCCTACCGCGTCAGGAACAGAGGAAGAGATATTTTGACCGAAGACTTATTGATCGTAGACACAAAGTTCCTCGAAAAAATTCGATAATGGAAATAACGTTGATCACAAGGGTGGCAGTTTGAAACTAAAAATCGTCCAGCGAAACCTTGGTTAAATGCATCGTCGCTCGAACCGTCAAAGGCACACGGATTTTCGCGATACTTGTCGCTTATCTTCGTCCATCTGATGGCGGGTAGGACGTATCGGCTGGCAATCCATTAGCGTAGATCCCATGCGTGACCACGGACGAGATCGTGTGGTCGGACCAGGAATCATGGCTGATCCAGAATCCTGAACGTTCTGGTTTCTGCCGCGGCCAGTCACTCCCCCGCCATCGACTCCCTGTTCAAATATTTAAGGCGCGGAAGTACGATACGTACGATGGGTAGTAGCGCAAAAATCGACCCTCGACGATTGCACGTTAAAAGTTAAACAGGTGATGTCAAAATTTTACGCGTTAGTTGTTGGCTGCCTTCGAGTAGAATAACTCGTAACGTACGTGTTAGTTGTTAGAGAAAATGTAGCACGCGAGACATCGCGAAGGGAAAATTCTGTTCGGTTTTCGGCACCCTGGAAAATTCATCTCACCGAGAATGAGCGTGCAGACTCCGAGAACATTCATCGTCGCCAGGCTGCCAGCAAACGCGAGCCAGCAGGTTTCACTGACCTCCTGGAATTTTCCTAGACAGACCTAAAGCCATCAAGCCCGAATGCCTGACTCCTCGGATGCGGGGGGCCTCGCACCGACGAGCTTCCATGGATTTGCCCGAGAATGTTTACCTAGTAGACCGAAGTCGAAGGGAGATGAAGGATTAGAGACGGGTAGCAAGGTGTCGGTCGGTTAACCCGAGAAGTCGGTGTGAAACTCGACGTCGGCGAGGAGAAGACGAGCCTTCCGGAGTCAGCAGGTGCGCGAAAGCCCACCAATACTAAATTACGCGATATTATGATAACGAGGAAGTTCGCTTGTCTTTGGGGTTAGGATACGAGAGAGCGTCTGAATGCCGCTCGACGGAGTCGAAAGCTTTGATATAATTAACGAGGGGAAACGCTGATAACGCCGGCCAGCGAATCTACCTCTTCCCTCGAGTGGAACCTCCTCGATCGTGGATCGAAAGGTTCGACAAGTCGACGGAGTAATGTCAAGGAAAGATTCGAAACTCTAATCCTGCTTTTCGATACGAAG